GTGTATGTTGGCGTTCCCTTTAAAGTAGCTCAACACCTATTGTTTGTAGGTCAGGTCGCATTTTGACATGACTGTTCATCCTAAACAAGCATGGAGAAGTTAGAAGCTGGTAATTAAAGAGTGTTCATAGAATGAATTGGTGCACCTCAAAGGCATTTCGGGTGAAGTTGGGGAGACTAGGCAAGGCCCTGTCACCAACGTAAACATTAGCAGAAACATTCAACTCGTGAAATCTGACTTCAACAGTGGGAACCTCCAGGCCTACCCTGCTTGTCAGGTATGAACAACATCATCATCATCATCATCATCAGTAAGCGATTGAATGAAAGAGGAAGAGACTGATAGAGAGGTGGGGATCGAAGCCTTGCCTATCGAGACGAGCTTTGATGCCGGCTAAGAGATTGTAGTTGTCTTGCTCATTGGTGGCAAGAGCATTCTGAACCAGCATCTGGCGGCCTTCACGGTCAAGATTAGTAACATCAACGGCCTCTGGACGAGCACCAGAAGAAGAAGAAGAAGAAGCTCCTCTTTCGTCGTCGTCGTTGCTGCTGCTGTTGCTGTTGTGTACCTTGCGGAGGATGGCGTAATTGAGGCGCTTAGAGGAGGGCAACCTCTCGATGGCAGCCCAAAGAAGCTCTTCGTCTTCATGCTCCGTCCGAGGCGCTTAGAGGAGGGCAACCTCTCGATGGCAGCCCAAAGAAGCTCTTCGTCTTCATGCTCCGTCCTGGAAACGCTATCAGCCCTCACAAACGGCCCTGCTGCTGCTGCACCCCCCTCCAGATCTATGGCCATGTACTCGCTGCCGTCCGTAGCCGCCGCCATTGATTTCTATCAGATTCCTTGGATCAATTTTTACATGGATCGCTGCTGTTATTATTCCTCCCAGCTTCTTCTGTAGCACCGCTGATCTCATCGCGTTGTTGTTCAGGAGAAGAAGGAGGAGAAACATGATGGAGATGAGAGCGGAACACATAACAAGTGGATTGATCCCCACAGGTTCTGAAGCGAAAGAAGCGGATGTCATCTGCGTCTCTCCTCCTTTCGCCACCGACCCCATCTCATCTGCACCTTGGATTTTGGACTTGGACACTTTCTTCTCCCGCTCCTGATCTCCCCACCCCCACCTTCTCTCGCCCCGTCGTACTTCCCTTCTGTTTCGGTTTCGGAATTCAAAATTTTTAAAGCAACCAACGCGTGAGCCAACTCGCTCGTGAAACAGGGGGTGGTCCCCACTGTGTCAGTGGGGACCACCCCCTGTTTCATGTGCGAGTTGGCTCGCGCGTTAAAGCGCGAGCCAAAAAGCACGGTTGCAAAGCCCTTACACGACGGCCTACTATTGGGCCACACCTAAAAGCTGACCGCCCGTGTACTCTACATGTGGGCCCTCATGGGTTTTAAATCGATTTCCCTAATTTAAATCTTTTTTAATAGTTAATTAATCCAGTAACAAAACAGTATCGGCCTCACATATTTTCCCCCTTCGCCGTTATATTTTCCCTGGTTTTAAACCCCTTATTAAAATATAGGATATGTCCTAATAATTATACTCTATAATAATAAGCGACTCAAAAGCCTTGCATTCTCCGCCCTAATTTTCCTTATTATTCGTAAGCCTGTTTTTCGTGTTGAAATTGATATAGTATTTGGTAGGTGTCATTCTATAATAAGGGCCTGTTCGTTTATTTTCTAAAAACCAAGAAATAGAAATGGAAAAGGTGAAAATCTCAAAATAATCAATTTCTTCCATTTACATCCTAAAACTCACTCACAACATCCAATAAAATATTATTTTCATGCAACAATTCATCCACATCATCTAATAAATTATTATTTTTATCTAACCACTCATCCACCACATCTAATAAAATATTATTTTCATCTAACAACTCATCCACCATATCTAATAAAATATTATTTTCATCTAACAACTCATCCATCACATCTAATAAAATATTATTTTCATCCAAACATCACTCAACTCATCTCTTTTCATCATTTCAAATCACTCACATCATCGAATAAAATATTATAACAATTCACCTCATCTCATTAACATTTTATTTCTTTGTTTTCATCCCAAAAAGTTGTGAAAACACTTTTCTTAATCTTTCTTCACATCATCCAATAATACAATGACAACTCATCTCATCTTATTTCATTTCTTATTTTTAAGAATAAACCAAACAAAAGAAAACAACAAAACTACAGGAAATAGGTTTCTAATAATTCATTTCCTTATTTTTTTGGCCAATCGAACAACATCAAAACTAGTTTTTTTAAAAAATCACTCACATCATCCAATAATAATGTGACAACTCATCTCATCTCATCTCCATTTCTTTGATTTCCTTTTTTTAGCCAACCAAACAATTCAAAAACCCATTTTTTTAGAAATGGTTTTCTATTTCTTTGATTTCCCATTGTTTTTAAGGCAAACGAACAGGCCCTAAAGCGAAACTTCGTGGAACAGCATAGAGATCAATTAAGCATTGAAGCCAGCAGCGGAATGGGGAGTTGGGGGGGAGGGGGAGAGAGAGAGAGAGAGAGAGAGAGAGAGAGAGAGAGAGAGAGAGAGAGAGAGGGGGGGGGGGGGAGAGAGAGAGAGAGAGAGAGAGAGAGAGAGAGAGAGAGAGAGTGTGTGTGTGTGGAAATGAGTTCAGCGTGGGTTGATGGTACAGAGTAGCATGCTAGTGGACAAACTCTCAAGTGATGCCGATGGAGGCGTACCGTAATAAGGTCCAGAAGAATGTAGAGGAAGTCGCAGGCGTCCAAGATGCAGACCCGCGTAGTACCTCCTTCATCACCACCACAATGGCTTCTCACTGGCGGAGATTAGTTTGTCCCCTTCTCATGATTCTGATAATGATAATGATATGTTAGGATTAAAACAAATTATATGCAATTATTGGCTTGCACCGATCTTCTCCTCATCTTCAATTTCTTCTTCTTCTTCTTCTCTCTCTCTCTCTCTATATTATTATTATATTTTTTTTTAAAACCATCCGCTCCTCCTCGCCCCAATTCAGTACAAAATCACTTGCCCCCTTCTTTCTTGTATCCTCTCTAAGCTCTCTTTAATTAACCTCAATCCGATCAACCCAGCTAGCAGTAGCAGCATGGTTACTGTACTCGTGGTCCCCAACCCCACCTTGGTTCCTCTTAGTCCTCCTCCTCATCGTCCTAGAGGAGGAGGAGGAAGATCAGGAGGAATTATTAATATTAATCACCATCACCATCCCTCGTACCCTGCAGCCCTTGGCTTTAGCGCTGGGAAGAAGAAGCAGAAACCCCTCTTGTGCTCCGCCCATTCCGCTGCAGAAGCAGACCAGGATGAGCTCTCACCGTCTTCGCCGCTTCCCTCTGGACTGCAGAGGGAATTGCTGCCCAAGCATGTGGCTGTGATAATGGATGGCAACTCGAGGTGGGCGGCGTCGAGGGGGTTGCCCGCTTCGGCAGGTCATGAGGTAGGATACAGGTCTCTCAAAGACATTGTTACCCTCTCCTGCAGGTGGGGGATCAGAGCTCTCACCGTCTTCGCTTTCTCCTCCGAGAATTGGCAACGTCCCAAGGTTTGCTTCAACTTACTTCCTGTTTTCCCCCCTTACCATCAATCGATTTGGGATAATCCCCTTTGCTTTGCTTTGCTTTGCTTTGCTTTTAACAGACAGAAATTGACTTCCTCATGATGCTCTTCGAGAATGTTCTCAAGGAAAATATAACCCACTTCTTAAGGTAAAACCACCTCCTTTTCTCCGCACTTGCAAATCTTTCCTTAAAAACTTTTTATTCATTTTAAACATGGAACTTGCACCTTATGCACCTCAACCGTTTGTCATAATGCTACACAGAGCCATCTCCATTGCTTTCTCTCAACACTAATTATTCAAGGTTTTCTTTTTTACTCTTTTACTCTGCGAGAATATACGGAACCTCCTCCTCCTGCACTTCAAGTGCTTGTCATAATGCAACTAGGGGTGGAAATGAACCAAATAATTAATAAATGGTTCGATAATTGTTCGAATAACTATTCGATCATATTCGATTCGGTAGTTCATTTACCACTAAACAAATATTTTTTAGTATTCGAGTTTACTAAAGAATAGAATTTAACCAGATGTATATTCGATTCGTTTATCTATTAAATATTCGCTTAAAATTTGATCACAACTTATTATTTGTATTATTACACATATGATGTTAAATTTTTAACTCGTTTACCATTGTTACTTAAGTTTTATGTACTGATTTTAAGACTTAAATAATCTTAAATCCATTTTCTAATTAAAATTTTGATTAAAAAATATATACATCATATATTATAAAGGAATAAATTTTATTTATGAATTTTAATACTATTTGAAAATCAAATTCTTTAGCGGAATAAATATAGTTTGATATTCGATAAGTATTTGTGAATATTCATGAGTATTTATCAAATACCAAGTATTCGAGTTCGAATTCGAAAAACTAGATATGTGAATATTAGAGTCCACATTCGAATTCGATAATTTTAAACAAATACAAATACGAACACTTTAGCATTCGATTCGATTCGATCGTTTACCACCCCTAAATGCAACAGATAACCACTTTTTAGCACAACAGTTACATACTCCTGAACATGATTCACTTTCCTCAAATTGTATCGTGGAGTAATGAGGTCCAGACAATTTCTTGGAGCATCCAACCTGGAAAACTAAAAGATAGTGGAGCTCTTGCCTCCTGTTTGTATTAAACGCAGATTATTTGCTGTTGAGTTTGGGTTATAATTTCAAGTAAAATTTACTCGAACTAAATGGCAAATTTAATTTAGGCGAGATGAATGGATGTATTGGAATTTTGTATGCCTTGTTCTTGATTTTGGATGCCTCGTTCACAATCTTAGTTATTACGCCAGATAAACTTTTCAACACTAATGAAGTGTTATTTTTTGTTGGGAGGTTTTGAATCATATGTAGCTTCAGTATATATAATAACTTAATCTCTTGAATGGAGTAGTTATGGAAATGCCGTCAGAGCGGCGGGGAGCTTTAAAACAGTTCTAAAAGAAACTCTCACAATAATAATCGTTTCTTAGCTCTGCTTCTTGTCTTTTACATGAACTAGAGTCATGGATCTTTCTGTTTTAGATAAAATGTGGGTACGATACAGAATAAATTAAGATTCAGTGTAAAGTATCTACCATCATTTTTTAAGTTCTGTATCTGCAAAAGAAACTTCATTGCTGTTGATTGTGCTAATCAAGCAGAATAGAGTTGGTCTAATGTGTGAATTAGATTTCCTTCTATTCATCCTCTGGACTAATTTTATTTATCTTTAGGATGCTACGGTAATTGTTGGTGTCATGAGCTTAAGCTTTTTGCAAAGTTGTTACCATTATATTCAAACGTGTATAAGTACTAGGCTACCCTGCCATGATCTGTGATGTTTTTTGATGCATATTTCTTCCAGTATTGTAATGAGCCTTTAGACTGCCACCGGACGAAGCCTTCTACAATTTGACTACTGAATTCTCTTTCATGTTAGTCTAGCATTTCTTCTTTCTCTCTATGTGACAAATTTTTTAAATACTCAAAGTAGGTTGCCGTAAATAATTTAATTATGCATGAACAGATATGACTATAATTATTGTCTGAAAGGCAATCAACCTTAAGAATAATTATTCTAATTTTGTTACGTAAAATGAAATTTGGGTTGGTTCCTGATAGGGAAGGCATTCGGATATGCATCATCGGTGATTTGTTGAAGCTCCCAAGATCTTTACAAAAGCTGGCACAAGAAGTAGAGGAAAGCACTAAGAACAACTCACAATTTGATTTGATTGTGGCAATTAGCTATAGTGGGCGAAGTGATATAGTGCAGGCATGCCAAAGCATTGGAGAAAAGATAAAACAAGGCCTTCTTGAACCTACAGAAATTACTGAATCTCTGATTGCGCAAGAACTCGAGACAAACCGTATCACGAATTTTAATTACCCAGACCTACTTATTCGAACTAGTGGGGAGCTGAGACTGAGCAACTTCCTACTCTGGCAGTCAGCTTACACAGAGCTTTACTTTACGAAAGTGCACTGGCCTGACTTCAGAGAAGCTGATTATATTGAGGCTTTAAGTTCATTTCAAATGCGGCAGAGGCGCTTCGGTAAACGAACTGTTTAAGAACAGGTATAAAGCTATGATTGAAGATATGATAAGTGAGAGCAGTTACCCTGTCCTTTCAAAAAGTTGACTTTAGCAAACTTATTATAGCATGATGAATTTTATGTGGTAATCTTTACTAATGGCTGCCTGTTTGATGGTTCTGCTGCAGGTCCACTTGGACTTGTTGAGATGTGCCGAGCTTCATAAAAAGTTATCATGTATGTTACTTTACTACCCGATTAAAGCAGTTGTCACTGTTCAAAGGAAAGCCGATGCCTTACCATGTATTTGATCACATAAACCCCCAACTCAACTAAGTCATTCTTGGGGAATTACCCTCATAGTGAAAAACATCTGTTTATATTTAGTCATGGACTATAATCCATTCGAGTAAGTAGTCAATTGCTTAATGCATGTACTTGTTGAGATATCATCGATCCATTATTTGGTAATAGGTGTCTGCTGAAAGATGCAAGCGTATATATCTTTGTTTTATTTCCTATGCCAGCTTGTGTCAGGAACTTGAGTTCTGTGGCATGCTATCAACCTTTTATGGACTTTGCTTAGCTACAAGAATGATGATCGTGCAGTTTCCCTGGGTTGCTCATTTTCTACCAGTTTCTGTTGTAATCTTAAGTTAGTGGAAGAAAGAAAAGATGCTACTGCTGGATGAGTATACTGCAGATATTATTTGGCAGAGTGACAGGTACTTTCTTGCTTCACATATACTAACTGCCAGTCACAGGTGCCTCCTTACAAGTGCTAACAGATGTGAAGGGGGGACCAATGGCTTCAACAGGTCCCAATCCATACTTCTGTTGGATGTCATCAGTCCAAATTCTCGAAAATTTATTACTAGTTCATGTGTGCATGCATGTCAATTCAAGTAAGTACTCATATTTTCATATAAGTTGCAAATCTGTGTTTGAGCTTTTGTGTATGTACACTTTTATAGTTCTTGAGTATTCCTGTGTTAATTTATTGTTAAAAGTTTTTTGGGGGGTGGGGGGGAGGCTCTCTAAGAGGACTATACTTATACACATGTATGTACGTCTGTATTTTAGAGAGAACCTCTCCTGGACTGAGTGCTCAATCCATCAAGTCTGGATAAAGCATGAGAAGCGGCTAGGCCTGGTGAATTCAGTTGTGGAGCGAGGCTGTGCACGATGGGTGTTGTTGGTGGCGAGGAATTGGCCAAATACCCATTAGACAGCCAGGCCTAGCGGTTGCAATGGCTAGCTTTATCCAGCCTGCATGACCATTGGCGTAGCTAACTGACATCTAAACGTGTTGAATTCTCTGTCAAAGACGGTCCATAGACTCCATACCGCATGAATATGGAGGGCTTGACCGAAGTGAAGAGAATCTTGATGAATGTTCCTTCAGTTCAAAGGTTAGAGATACTGTCAAGTTTCACCTGAAGGGATGCTTCCATACCTTTGTTGCTACCAATTTTCGAGGATTAGTTATTCCCTAGAAAATAAGAAGTATCTTTTGCTTGATAATGACATAAATTGTCTTATAGGAAGGAAATAATGAGTATTTACAATATATTAATATAAACACGCAGTATTTGGTCGTGAGAAGGTTGTGTTTTTGGCTCTCTCTCTCTCTCTCTCTGAGCAGAGAGAAGAAGTGTAATAATTCTAAGTTCTATTGGCTATATATATATAAAGAAAAGTAAAAGGAATTGGAGGGTTCTATTAGTAAATTACATCTTGAATACCCAAAACCCTATCCCAGGCAGCCTATTTCCTTTTTTCCCTGTCACAGTCTCGCCGCACAAAAAAAAAGAAAGAAAAATAAGAAAAACCCTAGAGGTAGAGCTAAAGGTGGGGATAAATATGATCAACTCAAGGTACTTTTTATTTCTACTTTTAGATGCATATGGTCATAGCTCATTTTTGAGGCCATGGCCGTGGAGGACCAAAGCTTGGTCCTCTTGCCTCTTGTTGGCTTGTGTCCGTGCCTTTCTGTGGCCTTGAGTTCCAAAAAAATATTTGTTATGCATACAATGCTTAACCGTGGCTATAGGGTAAAATAGGATATGTTGATTGATTTTAGTATAGTTAATTTAAGTTAGTATATCCTAAAATTATTTTTTTATTGGCTTCCGTGTCATAAATTATATGGTAATTTTGATGATTATTTGTAAATATTATGTAAGAATCTCAAGGGACTTCGAGGGGGTGTTGAGACTGATTTTTTCGATAGTCTTTAGGGTTTGAGTAAGTGGTGAATTTGTACATTATTTAGTGCATATTTTTTATATAAAATTACATTGACTATATGTAAGTTTGTTCTGATGGATTATACCATTTTGTATGGTTGGTTGCATACTAATTATTGATTGGATTAATGAATGTGGTTATTTGGTACAAGTCTATGCTTATTTTCTTTGTCAATTGTTATTACTTTTCATATAATAATAGGTTGAGATGCATATATGGTTGATTGATTTTACTATTGGTTGGCCTTTGGCATTTTTGTATAACGTATTTTGTTTTATGAACTTTGTTTAATTTTCTTAAAGCATATCCATCTCAGGTCAATATACCTGTATAAGTCGGATATAAGCCTCTATGAGGTTTTATTTTACCGCTAAGAGCCCAATTTTGGATCTCACCGTCCCGAAATTACGGGCTTAATAATTGTGGGGTTTACCGAGTCAAGCAGAGTATAAAGTGTTGACCGCATTGAGACGTAGCCTGTTTATTTTTTTTAGTTTTCTTAAATAATTGCATCAAGTACTAGAGTTCATTGATGATTCACTATCATTCTCATAGTTTGATTATTGTTTGTCGAAATATTTGAATTTTTGCAAAACCAGTGTTCAATGTACGAATTTATCCACTTATTGAGTTGTGAACTCATTGTGTTGTTTTCATTCTTTTCATAGACTCAGGATTAGGTGGAATTGGTGGTTCATGAGTTATTAGAAGAAAGCAAGGAATAAAATTTATAGATTGTTACTTTTCTTTTAGGTGAAGGTTGAATAAAGTCTTTGATATGTAGTTGATAATTGGAAGCTTTGTAATAATGGAATATTTACCATTAGGTCGAGTTTTATTTTAAGCTGGGAAATGTTTGTTTATCTCAAGTAATTGGATTAGTATTGACTTTTGGATTATGGATAATACTTTATTGTTGGTTTTAATTCAATGATGAGATTATTTTGGTGGTCTTTTGATGAATGTAGATTCAGAGGGTTTTTTTTTATAGGTTTAGTCCGGCTCCAATATTCCTTTTTTGTTCGAAAATTGGGGTCATGACGGATTGGTATCATAGTTGTCAGCCGAAAGTATGGAGCTAAATGATATACGGGACTAAGTGCTACACCACGTGATGCGGTGGGAGTCACCTCTAGAACCGGTAGGAGCCACCTCTTGAATTCACATTGCTTGGCAAGTGATACTAGATGTGCTAACTGTCATGTCATGACGACGAGGACGTCGTCTTTGTAAGGTGGAGTGATTGTGACTGTAGGCGTCAAAAAATGCTTACAGACATCCAAATACCACTCAAGGCAAAGAGAAGATGATAAAAGCCATTCTCTTAATCAGAGGGGATCATTCAAAGGAAGCGAGACAACACAGAAGAACAATGTACACATCAACAGGCAGTACATGGCGACGCGGCTGAGGCGCGACAGCACTTGGTGCCGGCTAAGGCGCAGCAGCTCATAGTACCGCGGCTATGGCGCGACAACATATGGTGCCGCGGCTAAGACGCGGCAGCCTAGGGTGCAGCGGCTATTATAGGGGGGGCTATGGTGGTTACAAGGCAGTTATACGATGATTATTTGAAACCCACGTGGCGGCATATCAGAGATAGAACGTGTGCTGACGTGGACAAGCAGTTAAACCACGAAAAAGGTGGTTAAAGGTCGTGGGAGAACAGTTTCAAGCACGATGGAACGTGCTGGTAACCGCGCCAATAGCCGCGACAAGATTGGCTGCCGCGGCCAAAGAGGGTTCATCTGGTCGGTTGTTTCGCCTCCATTTCGACTGTTGTGCATTCCTACCCTATAAATACCTCCCCAAACGCGAGATAAAGGAGGGAGGGCAGATTGGAGCATAGAGGCTTGAGCTTTTGGTGATTTAGAGCAAAAGAGAGAGTCTTCCTTCTTCACAAACATCCTCAAGAAGCTTTTGGCGATTCCTAGAGATCTAAGCTCTGACTTGATCTTTAAAAGAGTGAACATCTTACATCGGTAAGATATTCGCTTTAAATTCTTACTTCGATAAACGAATGAAGAATCATTAAACCCCTCACGATCTGTGATTTGGTGGTCCACGGGCTAACGCACCCCCAGCACAGGCAAAGATCCCACGCAAGCAGTGATCCAAACAACGATCCTGCGTTTGTTTCTAAAAAGTTATAATTTTCCTTTTGTTGTGTAAAAGAAGTCTTATAAAAAGGCTATTTCTTTTGAATTTGTTGTAATCGACCGAAGATATAATGAATTCTACAATGAAATCAACTTTCGCTGAAAACAAACTGGCGACCACAGTGGGAGCCAACGGTCTCGCTACTGAGACCGTCGTGTCGTAGCCGATCAAGATTCTAGTTGAATCCACGGTTGAATACGAGTTCGACCAAACCAAGTTTGAGGAATATCTCTCATCATCCTCTTCAAGATCTCCATTGTCTCGCAAGTACAAGAGGATCTCATCATTGAAGAAGGCTTATATGCCAAAGAAGGCTAAAAGTGAAGACTCTCGCTCAATCGTTGTTGAAGCCTTGCCTTGCAACATTATCCCGGCGACCCCCAAAGCCGGAAGTTCTACTCATAATGATTCCACCCTAATTAAGGAGTCGTTCGATCGAAGTTCGCCAACTCTGATGAAGAGGGCTCGTCAGAGGCGACGCCAAGATCGCGCTCGTCAATTAGCTAAGGCCTTGGAACAAACCGATGGAGTTCGTTATTATACGGACTTAGAATCGAGGAAACATCAAGTGGTTCAGTCGCCTCAACGTCAAATCACTCACATCTCAGCAAAACTTACGTCGGAGGAATGGACTCTTGTCAAAAGGGCCCGTTCGACCCTCAAAGAACGCATACAAAAGCGTATGACAAACACCGCTCGTGCCCGTGCTCTTTTACAACAAAGACGAGAAGGAAAGAAGAAAACGGTGGCCAAAGAACCACCAAAATTCTACAAAGTTTGGATTCCGAAGTCTGGAGTTGTGCAAAATCAATATTTGGAGCCCGTTAAGACTCCGCACCCGCAAGGGGGTGGTTCTAAACGTGTGACTCCTGACATAACATTGGATCGCTCAAAGGCAACAATAACTTGTCCTAAGAATGCCAACAAGGCTTTACACCCCCAGAAGAAGACGTGTTTGCCAAAAGACATCGTTATGCCTGGGAGGTCATACCAACAGACGATAGGATTTTCCGGCAATCATACCGATGAATCGTACTATCAAGCTGTGGGTTTGAATAAATTTTGAAAGAGAATTATTCGAGAAATAAACT